ACAAATTGTAATTGACAGTATAACCAAGTGTATACATGCATTTGTGGCCAAAAAAGAATTGCTCTAGAATAATTATAGAGACCGATAATGCTGATGAGCAGTAGTATTTATTCACGTTTCCCTTATACAGAAACAAACAATCGCACAATATGCAGTCATTCACTTTATAAAACATTTATCATATCCGTTTAGCTTTAGTGACTTTCCTATCGTGTGGGCGGTTTCACGTATATAACATTGTAAATATAAATGTTGCTACTCGGTGTTATCCATTTTACAATCCTACTTACTTACACTATCGTAAAGCCGGCTACATCGCAGTTAGAGAATACGCATATAAAATAACAGAACGACCTCGGTTCAAATGGGAGACCTTTGGATTTCATCACCATGACATTACATTTACTTTTGATACAATTTGACTCCAAATATCTATAAATTGTAATCAGGAAATATTACTAAGTGGGGTCAGTGTCAGTATGTCGGGTTCTATCTTATTAGCCTCGTCGATTTTAGTACACCACGCATACCATAATATTACCTTACTTAAGATGACCTGAATTAATCGTATCGTATATACGCAATAAATCACCAAGAGAACGGTGATTTCATTACATTACTCCTGGAACAATTCCCGATTGACATCCCATAATGCCCCTGGTGTGAATAATATTCTAATCATGGTAACCCCAAGGTATTTGTAATTAACCGTCCGTTGTTTGTGTAATCAATATGTTACATTACCAAAGGATATTGACTATTTATAAGTACTTTGCACAAATAACTGTACACACAAACTATGACATCAATAAGACTGACACGCCATATCAGCAATCTAGGTACTGTCAGTGTGTTTTAAATAACTGTATATAATGGCAAGAGTTTTAATAACTGGAATGTCCCGATAATTACTCATACCAAATGTACTTTATCATTTTATATTACATCGCGACGCGCAAATGTTTATGGGAAATTAAAATTTAGCAGCTGAATATAAGCAGACATAATAAATAAAAGGACTGTTTCGAGTTAGTGATTAGAAGGTATGTTGTCATTCGAGGCGATGTTAGGTTTCCACTTGTACTAATTCACAAATCGCAACTGAGATTATATGTTTACAGCTAACACAAGTAGGGCTGGTAGATTGATTTTAGTTTTAAAAATAACAACCAACAACGGAAACATCCCAATTTCATATACATATTCCATAATTTTTTTCATCTCGACTCGCGGCGAATTATTTGCATACACACATAAGTTCTCACTAAAATACCTCTAAACTAGAAATTAGTAACATCTTACACAGAAGTGTGAAAATACCATATTAACACGTTAAATAACACAAAATAAACCAACGACAACAATTGACAAACATTCCACACACAAAAAATAACAAGTAGACAGCACTTCATACTTTTTGTCAAATTAGTAAGAGAATGATATATGGACTTCATGGTATACATGAAGTTATGTCAGATATTTCGAAAAGACAGAACACTTTATGCCATCCCGTCATATGCCATTCTAAGTCCTTCAAACAATTGATTTCTTAATGAAACCTGATGTGTATACATCTGACAATTGATCCATTTACTATATTTGTAACGGTTCACAGTATTATACATACAATGCAATTTTTGTTAATCTGTGTCCCCAATAAATCTTTACTTAATAAAATACGTGAACGTGTTTTAATTGCATAGGGCTTTTAAAAGCTATTATGCAAGTATAAATATTGCAAATGTGGCATCAAAAACCACAGCCGTATACTTAATTACTCCCGTGCCCATGAATGACAGATTACTGACGTCCATGTTGGACATTGACATTTTTCACCCGATGACTAAGTCATTATTTGTAATTATAATGAAGTAGTCCGCATATTTAATTACTTTTACCGTCGGCATGAATCCATATAGTTGCAGAAAACAAATTAAAAGGGCAAAGGTTAACTTGTAATTTTCACCGAGGTCAATGAATTTCCGCGTTTCGTGATAGCAAACTCCATAAATCTTATACACTGCCTGCAGATACAGTACATTTTTTCGGATCACGAAGTAGTTGTCTAATACTTCAGATAAAGAGTGAATACATAATCAGTAGATTCATCTACATGTGCGTTATTTTGAGCGTGTTAAATCTATGTGTCTATGTAAGCATTATATGGTAAAACAACCGCCCATGTGTTCAGTAATTGTCACTACATGACACGTGGTTTCGAGACACTCCGTCTAATGATACACTTGTTTGTTACGTGGTTTGGGCATGTTTAACGTGATAGATCAGAGATGCTATCAAACATGGTGTCGAGACCCCCCTCAATGATACTTAACCGATCTTATAACTAAATATTTACTCTTCATCTAAACATAACATACTTTACGTAAATCAACACCTATTTTACAATTTATTTGTTGTTGTAGAAGATAAATTTACAGATTGTATATTTTGTCAACCTCACCGTACCGTACACAAATCATCAATCTTCCAATGAGTTTAATAATTTGATTATGAAAGTACAAATAAACATCATTCTAAAACATTTCTGAAAGACATTATTTTAATTTGATAATTGAATGATCTCGACATTTTTAGAAAGGCAAGACATATAAAGGTAATCCTTCCGAAATGTCATGATATAATGTTCCGGCTTAGTGTTTCAACATATTTGCGTGTTTCCGAGAAGGATTTCGAATGAATATGGAACCGTGTGATCTGACGCTTTTTTATATATCACGAGACGCTTTGCAATAAAATAATTGGTAAAACAGAAGTCTTCAATAGGGATTGGATTAAAACAATTCAATGTATATTACATTTAGGTTATATAGTTGTTGTTTAATTGAATTCTGCTGCGTGTGCCACAGATGTTTTAATAAGGATCAGAAGACAACAAAAGGATCGGATGTGGGTTGCTAACGTGATATACTTCCAGTCTACCCAATGCTGTTATTGATTCAGAACATAGGTAAATAATCCGGTAATACAAATATCAAGAATGCCTAACCGTTTTACTGTTGCGCAGATTTACTACACGATACACGCCTGAACAAACACAATATTCATTACTAATAATATTTCTACAGCATTTCATTACAGATCATATATCACTAAAGTTCGTTATAGTCGTACTCCACATATAGGTGATTGATACTGCCACAATAACCGCGATAAAGAGAAATTATTTCAAAGTGTGTTGCAACATGTTAATGTGTTTCTTCCCCACTTTGCGTACTGGGAACGGACAAGACATCTACGACGTCGATCTCGCAGCGAATTATGGGCGGGGAGTCTAATATATTGCTGTTGTTTGACAAATTTAATCTAGCTTAGAAGGAAGAATTTATGTATGATTACCAGTTTATAAAGATTTCGATATTGGGGAGGTGTTACAATAAAACAGACGTTATTGAAAAGAAAGATTCCCTTTGACATTCTGTATTTATATATTTATATTAAATTGAAGGACGTGTGTTTATACAATTCACACCGATGCAGAAACGGACAATTAGCCTGTATACCCTTCAATATAGAACGTTCTTTACGTACAGGTAAAATTAATAAGACTGTGAGGAAATTAGAAATCAAACACAATTATGCAAATTAGATTGTTGAAAGTGGACGAATTTAAAACATCGTGAACGTACCACGTCAATGAGTTGAAGAATAGCCATGTAAAACGAAACGGGCACAGATTCCCTTGCCGTGACCACCGGGCGTACAACAGATGAATAATTTGAGAAGAGATCGACGAGAAGGCGTTCTTCCGCGTTTCCAGAATGTCCAAGTCCTGCAATGATAAAAGAGAAAGTTTGAAATGAGTTTATTTGCTTAAACAGATCATTAATGCTATAATAAATAAAGTGGAGCTCACTTTAATGGCTCTTTTGGGCATAATAAAATATTTGAATTAAAATATATTTAAAACAAATTGAAAATGTATAGAGACGCAATATGCACGAGAACATACATGTTTAATATGTTGTTCGACACCCTATACTTTAGACCACTAATACGCATACATTGTACATTGATTATTATTGTACGTACCAACAAGCAGGTGCGCATGCTTATGTACAACACTAATTCGTCAAGATGAGATATTATACAACAATAATAACAATTCTCATCCATATAACATTTTAAACCCTTTATTAAATATAGAGCTGAAGACATATTTTGAAATCAAATCACTTTTCTGTTTGGATTAGTTTGGGTTATTCCTCGTTACATCGTATCACTTAAAGCGGGGGAGTCGTCTGCGCATGCGTCAGATGGCCATAGCGTGTCATTGTTTAGAAATAAGCGTCTACCAATGAGCCTTTGCGTTTTTAGCGTGTGTTGTTATCGTCGCTTGGGACTAAATTCCCGCGCGTGCGCAGCTGACGACTCTCCCGCTTTAAAGACAATATTCAAATCAAAGTGTAAAGTAGTCACATTGCTGTAGAATTGTTGTTATAATGTCATGCCTTAAAGTTGGACGCGATTGGTTTCACAATAACGCCTGAAAAGATGTTCGAAGGTGATGTCTAAATGACCCTTAGATGAAATCAAATATTCGTAGACGTGGGTGGATCGCGTATACAGTGTGCATGTTTCATGTGGGTATGACACGTGCACAGCGCGTGTTCAATGTGTTACGTGTATATACTTAACCAGGCAAATTTAATGTTTTCTAGATGTTGTTACATTTGGTTTATTCGGTTTATATCTTCATGTTGCAGTTTGGGTGATTCGAGTAAATATGACATATACAATTAACATGTTTTAAACGCAATGAGTGTTATATATTTCAGATAAATTCGGTCTACCCACACCATCAACGGTTTAATGGAGTGTTTGACATGGCTGAAACCTGATAAATGCTCGCTTAATGTAGTATTATTATTCACTAAGGATGAACATTGATTATAAAATAATCAATTCGATCATGAAAATTCGTCTTCAACATTTTGAGTTATCAGCCAAATCCAGATCTCTTCCAGCATATAATTGAGAGAAGCTCTTCTATTAATTTCAATAAATTAATAATAACATTTTTATTAGAACTGTATATAACAAAACAACGTTGGCAAAAAATGACATCTCTGGTTTCACTACAATTTGATAATAAGCATATGAGATTGTAAATTGCATCTATATACGACTCTGTACTCGTAATGAGAATGTTCCAATTACGATATACGAAAAAAAGAGCTAGTTGGATTATTTTGCTATTTGGTGTCTGTCTTTGGTTTTTTGTTCGTGGGCTTGTAAACTTTTCCTATACAACTTTTTAAATATAAGATTACAGTTTAAGTCAATGTTTGCCAAAAAATATCAGGTTATGGTGCGAACAACTGAAATAAAAATGTTTTCATGGAACACGCCATTGTTGGTCGTTCTTTCATCTTAACGTTCATTTGCAAGATATCGAGTAATAAATCAAAGCCCTTCAAAACACATTCTATTCGTGTGACGTGTTTGTGATCTTATCACAAAGACAAATACTTACATAAAATCTAAACATGCCGCGTGTGCGCTCTTTGTATATAGACTAATGTTCGAGTGGGGTGCAAACTTTGAGACATTGAACGACACCAGAGCGCATGCCAGATTCGAATAACTTGTTCACACACGATTACATTATCCGGCTATCAACACGACACCAATCTTCGGATTATCATATAAATAATGCCACGGGCTGAATTATTCAAGATGTCTAAGAGATCATTTGCAATTACGGCCACCGATATAATTTGATAATTGGCAGAATAATTACCAGCCTTAGGTACTTCATTTTGAAAATGAACTTTTAATCAGTATGCATTTGAGATAGTATAATTTTCCTGAAATTATGGTGGCTTTTTTCACTGAAACTATTCTAAAATAGTGACGTGTAACGCACATACAGCATCATATCACCAGGCATCAGTTCACCTGATTTTTTTTAGTTTTAAACGCTAAATAATATGAAACTCTTCATTCACAAAAATGAAGTTCATGAAGACGACATATCCATGTGGTGCAAATTAGCTAGCTTCGTCTTATGCAATAATATGCGACATAATTTTCGGCACATTTATGGGGTAATGTAGGAATTGATAGTTGTAATCCTCCATACACTCAGTGAGAGAGTGGAAAGTGTGTGACAAATATATATAATGATGTGTGTCATCAGTTAGCTCTAATGAGTATGAAGAATAACCTTTGTTGTAACCACGACAACGGAAACAATTATTAAAATTAAAATACAACCTGGTTTCACATAATATAAATACAATTTTGTATTCTTTGAACATTTACGGCAGAGTAAGCACGGACAATGATCACAAGAAAAGGAAATGAAACGGAAAATGCTCCTGCCTTTTACAAGCTATTCGAATAATGAACCTTGATAATAGAAATTGATTTCCGTACTATATATAGTATTCTGAAAAAATATGTCAAGTAAATAATAAAACAAAGGCACCCATCACAGGAGCCTGAACACACGGTTTGAATCCTCAGTACCATCCACGACAATCAATGCGTTGTATTCTTGACAACACCACATCCTATAAACGATAAAGTAATTCCTACGAGAGATAAAGTTACACTGTATTTGTTTTTTATTTGGTGTATTAAGATATAACCACATGTCTATAACTATGTCTTACACAATGCAACGAGTGATGGGATTAAAGGTTTTTGATTCGCAATCTGAATTTTAGTTAACGAGTGAAATACATCCATCCATCCATCCACCCACCCATCCAACGTGAATACTTACTAAGTAACAAAAAATAAATTAGGTGAGACGAAATTGATAAGCGTCTGTGTTATCTATGGACCAATTATTTAACCGTCACGACAAATGCAGTTATACAACAAATATTTTTTAAATCAGGGTTTCACTTGACAACTGCGTATATTAT